TCTAAGATTAGCAGTAATCCTAAGTCCATTGAAGCTAGGCTTCTATTAGGACTAGGTTTGTGTTGGCTATAAAAGAAAGGCACCCTCATGGGTTGAAGGTATGTCTTTTATGCTCTGTTTTGTGAGTTAAGCACTATTGGTTATCTTTGAGAGATATTTTACAGACTTGATCGTCGGAGTGCCCCCGGGTGGACGAGCGACCGCCGGAATCTCTTCTTTCTGTTGCAGGTTGTTCAGGCTTAACCTATTCTGCCGGTGTTCTCCAGTTGAGTACTAAGTTGGCAATGTGATCGGAAATTGACACACACAATAAGTCTTCAATTATTACCAAAAAAAAATGATTTTGCGTCTATATTATTTGTCATTTTTTTTCCTATTATGTTTGTTTGGAAGATTTAGAAAGGGATTTGAAAAAAGAAAGGGAAAAGGTACGTGAAACTATGTGAAATGTAGGTAAATTTTATTCACATGTCATATACCTTTTTTCCTTTCTATTTTCTAGATCCCTTCTCAAATCTCTCAACAACCATTTTATTAAAATTTTTTTAACTAATTTTTTATTTTTTTTTTTTTTTTTTATCACAGGCAGAAGAGTTCTAGTGCTAAAGGTGAACGGTTGAAAGAAGCTACTAATATCAAGTCTCTTTCAACATTAGGATTTGTTCTCCCTCCTTTTCTTGTCTTGGGCCTCATTTTGCTTCCCTCTTCAACATGATTTTTCTTGGTTTAATTATGTTAACTAATTTGGAAACATTTACATAAAATCAGGAGGAGATTGATAGATAATAATATAAAGTGTCTTTCTTGCTATGCGGCAAAGAGGCAACCTTTGAAATTTTTTGTAGAAGTTGGAATTAGAGCTATCCTAGGCAAAAATTAGTGCTAGGTGCTAACTTTATAATTGTTATTATGAAGTAATAAAATTAGTTTAATTCATGCAGGTATGAGCTGCTGTCTTATTTTATTGGGAGGGAGTATTTTATCCATGGTTATAATCCAATATATGCTCTTTCTACTGATGTTGTTTCAAGCTTGGTTGCTCTAAGAAGGGAAGCTTCTGAAGACGAAATCCAAGATACTAGGAATTTTCTAATATAAAGATATGGGCGGCATAAGCCGGGTGTTGATGCAATTGAATCAACCCATGATGGTGCACTCGCAAGAAGATATTTGGGTAAATTTTGTACCTTTAGAACTTAAAGAGTTTTTTTTTTTTTTTTTATGCTCCATGTTTGGACCATTGTGTATGCCATCATGTGTAGGCCATTTAGATGCCATCTAAGTGGGTTTTTGGTCTTGATTTAGACCTGCCTTAGGATTGTTTTAGGTCCCCATGGCCCTTTGGGGTTTGCTTCATATAGTCTTGGTTCGAGTCCCGTGGCTAGTTTCCAAATTTTGGGCTCGGTTGCATGCTTTGCTTGATTTGTTTAGTTGGTTTGGCACCATTTCTAACATGATTTCAGAGCTTACAATGTATGCCATTTGTCCATGTTCATCCTCTTTTAAGTGTTCACGTGTTGAAAAAAAAAAATTAATCTACGACGGGCAAAATAGGTCGTTGTATTAAATATTTAATGACTAGCAATGAGTGTCATGGTTTGTCTCTTGAATTAACGGCGTTTAAAAGTAGTCGTAGAAAAATTAAACATGACATGTAAGATGCTCTGTTAAAAGTTTTAACGGCATGCTATGGCATGCCATTGAAAGTGAATGACTTTCCATGATTGGTCATAATATGGCTTTACCTTGCGCGTCGTGAAATCGTTTCCACAACGTGCATTTGGTGCTGCAAAAACCCTTTTTTGTTGTAGTGATGAAAGATTTGGGGCCGGTAAAACAAATATTTGGTATGAAGATTGTTCGTGATCGAAAGAAGGGACTGATTTGGTTGTCCCAAGAAAGCTACATTAAGAAGGTTCTTGAGAGGTTTAGCATGAATAAAGTAAAGCCAGTTGGTTGTCTACTTGCGGGTCATTTTAAACTTAGTTCAAATCAATGTCCTACAAGTGAAAAAGACGAGGAAGAGATGCTGAAAATTCCTTATGCTTCAGCGGTTGGTTCTTTGATGTATACCACGGTTTGTACAAGGTCAAATATTGCTCACGCCGTTGGTGTAGTGAGTCTTTTTCTCTCTAATCCCAGTAAAGAACATTGGGCAGTGGTGAAATAGATTCTAAGGTATTTTCGAGGGACTTTGAAGGTGTGTTTGTGTTTTGGGAATGGTAAGCCGATGCTTGATGGGTTCACAGATCCCTACATGCCCGGTGATGTTGACTCTAGAAAATCTACTTCGAAATATTTGATGACTTTTGTAGGGAGCTGTGGCATAACAGTCTAAATTGCAAAAATGTGTTGCTCTTTCAACTACAGAAGTTGAATTTATTGCCATTACAGAAGCTTGCAAGAAAGAGTTATGGTTGAAGAAATTTTTGCAAGAATTGGGTTTGAAGCAAGAAAGGTATGTGTTTTATTGTGATAGTCAAAGTGCTATTCATTTGAGTAAAAAAATCTACTTTTCATTCGAGATCGAAATTAATTGATGTAAGATACCATTGGCTTCGTGATGTGTTAGATTCAAAATTGTTACAACTCGAAAAAGTTCAAACAAATGATAATATTTCGGATATGTTGACTAAGACTTTGTCGAGGGACAAACATTTGAAGTGTCGAACTTTGGCGAATATGGTTGATAGTTCTACCTAAGTCGGTAAGGGGAGAATTGTTTGGTATATCTCCTTAATGGAGTATAAAACTCAATTGGTTTATTAAAAATATTTAATTTTGTTTGATGTTAATTATAATATTTTTTAATATATTATATCTAACTTTTTAAAGACCCAATAGATATTTAATAATCTGTTTAGTAACAATTAAGACTTTGATAAAAAGTCCAAAAATCAATATTATTTTTTTGATATTGTCTTTGTTTTTCCCAAAAAGTGTGCAACGGCCGATGGATATATTTCGGTGGATGTGTGCTTGTGAGAAGGACCAATTCAGCCTCCGTTTGGGAAGTGAATTGGCTTTTTTGGCTTTTTGACTTTTTGACTTTTTTGGCTATTTTAGCCTAGGCTAAAAAGCTTGGTTTGGGAAGGGCTTTTTGGCTTTTTTGACTTTTTTTGTGAGAGAAAAGTGTAATGATTATGGGTTGGATGTGATGTTTTGTTTGTTATGACTAAAATAGCCTATTTTATCTTTTGTGGCTATTTTAGCCACAAATTCACTTGCCAAACAATACCTGGTTTAATTTGTCAAGTACTGTGAGTGCATTTTGGCTGGTAGAAACGAACTTGGTTCAATCTTATTTGTTTAGTGCGAATTTTCAGTGCAACTTCGAAGGTTTTGCTGTGGAGATTAATTTGGGTCTATTATTTTGGGTATTCTACACTTTGTTTTGAAGACAATTGGTTCATCTACTTTGGTGAGGTCCTTTCCTCTATTTATTTGTGATTATTTGAAATTTACTTAAGGGTGATTTGTGAAACCATTCGTGTCCCGTTTATAATTGAAACTCTTAGTTGATAGTGGAATGGGATTTTAATTCTGTGGATGTATCTCACATTGAGAAAATAATGTAAAAATTCTTATGTCATTATTGATTTTCTGTATTAATTTTTATTTTTATTAATTAATTTATTTAAGAGAAATCATTTATTTTTCTTTAACAGTTGAAATATGGACTCATCTATTAATATTTTGGACATCATCTACCACCAATGTGGGATGCAAACATTATGAAATCACCCTATTGCAAAAAAAACTTCTTTTTCTTGAGACAAACACACCGGCTATTATGGTTTATAATTACAAAAATATGAATGTCAGTTTATTTTGGATAAATTTTATGCATAAAAATACTATTTATAAATCATTTTTTTTCCTTAAAAAGGATTCGATCATGCTGAAAAAGTAAGGCCCAACTGTCTCGGTAAAAGCGCCACACCACATGTCCAAAGAACCAAAGCAATTTTGGACGCTTGCTTGTGCCCAAACAATCCAATATAATTAACTTAACAGTAGCACTGGTTCTACTCGGGAGTTAGGTAGCAAATGCAGTAAATTGCACCCATTTTGAATTGAAAATGTTATTGGTTAATTCAATTTTGATATGCGTGTAAATTCAACGATTTTTATATCAAGATTCCCCTCAAAGAAATAAAAGATTGTTTATTTCTTCGCTAGACAAGAGAAAATGAACTGCTGCAGGAGTAGGACAGTCTTACCATGAAACCAGTGGGATGCACATGTCCTTACAATTAACAAAGCAATGTTGGAAACATAAACATATATGTACACTTCTTTATAGGCACGCATGGGAATTTTCCAAAGCTAAATCTTTGTAAAAAAAAAAATTGGTCATTCAGCTTGGCAAAGCATTTGCAATTTCATTTTTGAGCCTAACACCTTGAATCCAGAAAGCAAGTGACCATGGCTGTTCCATTTCTTCCGTTTGTGCTTAAAAATCTCAACTCCTTGATCCAAAATGAGGTGGGATTGCTCTGTGGAGTAAACACGGAGATGAAAAAGCTTTCAAGCACTCTATCCACCATCCAGGCTGTCCTTGAAGATGCAGAGCAAAAGCAACTGCAAGACAAAGCTATACAGAATTGGTTGAAAGAGCTCAATGATGCAGCCTACGAGGCAGATGACATCTTGGATGAGTGCGCAACCGAAGCCCTCCGATGTGAATTAAAAGGCCAAGGTTATGGTTCTCTCAAGAAGGTAAGCACTTCTTTGTTAACTTGTTATCCTGTTCAGAATGTTCTGTTTCGTCACAAAATAGGGAACAGAATAAAAGAGATTACACAGAAGTTAGATGCAATTGCTGCTAATCGCAGTAAATTTCACTTGACCGAGGGAGTTGTGGTGGTGAGACGAGTTGAATATGATGTAAGCCGTGAAACTAGCTCCGTTATCACTGAACCACAACTCTACGGAAGAGATGAAGATAAAGAAAAGATTGTCAAATTTCTGGTTGAGGATGTATGTGATATTGAGGATGTTTCTGTGTATCCTATACTTGGTATAGGCGGTCTTGGAAAGACAACCCTCGCGCAAATGGCTTTCAATGATGAGAGGGTCAAACCCCACTTCGATCCTAAAATTTGGGTTTATGTTTCTCAAGATTTTGATGTGAAAAGGGTGATCAAAGCAACAATAGAATCTGCAAATGGAAAAGCTTGTGAGGCAGTTGACCTAGACTCACTGCAGAGAAAGCTTCGCGACATGCTGAATGGGAAAAGATACCTGATTGTATTAGATGATGTGTGGGCCGAAGATCCAGGCAAGTGGGATGCGCTCAAGTATTCACTAGCATGTGGAACAAAAGGTGCTTCCGTTATCGTCACTACTCGTGTTGATAAGGTTGCATCAATCATGGGAACTATTTCACCTCATCGCTTGTTAGCTTTATCCGAAGAAGATTGTTTGTTGTTGTTCAGGCAACGAGCATTTGGACTTGGAAATGAAGAACGCCCAAACCTTGTCGCCATTGGGAAGGAGATAGTGAAGAAGTGCGGGGGTGTGCCGTTAGCTGCGAAGGCCCTCGGTGGGCTAATGCGCTTCAAAAGTGAGGAAAAAGAGTGGCTTCATGTTAAGGAAAGTGAAATTTGGACATTAACCCAGGAAAATTCCATCTTGCCTGCCTTAAGATTAAGTTACTTTTATCTTCCATTGGAATCAAGACAATGTTTTGCTTATTGTTCCATTTTCCCAAAGGGTTCTCAAATTCAAAAGAGAGACCTAATTCGTCTTTGGATGGCTAATGGCTATATTTCATGCAAAGGAGGATGGGAACCGGAAGATATTGGTGATCAGATTTGGAATGAATTATGCTTGATATCATTTTTCCAAGAGGTGAAGGACTACGAAAGTGATATATGTTTCGAGATGCATGATCTTGTGCACGATCTTGCCCAATCAATTATGAAGGGTGAATGTCAAATGATCAAGTTTAACAGTTCAAGTAATATATACAACGGAAAAGCTCATCATGTAACATTGGTTGGCGGGCGGAAGGAATATTTTAATAACACATTTCACAAAGTTGTATCCTTACGGACATTACGACTACGACGTTCAAGTTTCTTTTTAGTAGATGACTCATTTTTGTATGATTTCAGAATGTTTGGTTCACTGCGAGCTTTTGATGCACCGGACATAGCAGCAGAGTTGCCACCTTCAATTGGCAACTCAAAACATCTGAGGTATTTGAACCTTTCCCATTCTGGTTTCGAGCGACTTCCTGATTCAATTTGTAATCTCTTGAATTTGCAAACATTAATTCTAGAACACTGTCGCAATCTTGAGAGATTGCCCCAGAACATTATGTACCTGAGAAGTCTCCGACATCTTTTTCTGTTAGGGTGTCCGTTAATTGAGATGCCCCCAAAAATTGGGCAGCTAACTAACCTGAAGACGTTAAATGAATTTGTTGTGGGTAAGAGCACTGATTGTAGTCTCCTATCTGAATTGAAATGCTTAAACCTTCAAGGAGAACTTTGTATCTCGCACCTTGAGAGAGCGAGAAATCCGATGGATGCAAAAGAAGCCAATTTAGTGGGAAAGCAAAATCTTAGTCAGTTGGAACTAAATTGGGAATATGGTTTGGCTGAATGTGAATCACAGGAAAGTGTTGAATCTGAAGCACAGGAAAATGTTGAATCTGAAGCACAGGAAAGTGTTAAATCTGAGCTAGTACTTGAAGCCCTTCAACCTCATCCAAACCTAAAGGAGTTGGTCGTAAGAGCGTACAAAGGCACTCAATTCCCGCTCTGGATGAGGGGTTCAGATCTTCAAAATGTAGTTCATATCCGGCTCTTCAGGTGCAACAACTGCTTACGACTTCCACCGCTTGGACAACTACCTTCGCTACAAAGCCTTCAAATTGATGCAATGGAAGAAGTTGTGGAGTGTATTGAAAATGAATATCCTGGCAGTGGAGGATTCCCATCTTTGGAAGAACTCAAAGTTTACAATTGTCCGAAATTGGAAGGTTTGTCAAGGGAGGAGGGAAGAGAGTTGTTCCCTCGTCTTCGTGTGATACGTATTGCTCATTGTCCTAAATTGAGCTTCCCGCATCTTTCGGCTCCCAAAGAATTGTCGTTGGTTGGCAACTCCACCATGGGACTAAATTCAATATCAAATCTTAATAGTCTCACTTCCCTCACTATTGGTTATAATGACGAGACGGTTTGTTTTCCAAAAGAGTTTCTGAGGAACCTTACTCTTCTTGAGTCACTAGTGATTGAGTATTGTTTTGAGCTTAAAGTGTTTCCTGGAGACCTTGCAAGCCTTGTCACATTGAAGTCATTGAAGATCGAACGATGCCCAAAGCTCGAGTCTTTGCCAGAGGAAGGGCTACGAGGCCTTGAATCTCTCCAATCGTTGCACATTATCGACTGCCGTGAACTGAAAAGGCGAAGTGAGAAGGGAAAGGGGGAGGATTGGTATAAGATTGCGCACATATCAGAAATCACTATTGAGGTATAAGATTCTTCTTTTGCTCATTGTATTACTAGTTGGTTTGCAACTGTAACACACTATATTAAATAAATAGCCAAGGGGTAACCCATTTATAAAGAAATAATTTTTTTAAAAAAAATTCACCAAATAATAAATTAACATTCACCTTAATTTGTTTAGTATCTAAATTTGAATTTGTATATTTTCTCCAATTCGTAGAAGTTGTTAAACAAATTAATCTCAAAATGATTGAGATTTCAACAATAAGGCTCCGTTTGTTCTGTTATAAAATATTTTTCGTGTAAGGTAATTTTGTCCAAAAAGAAATTTTTATTTTTGGATGTTTGGTTATCACTAAAATATTTTCTCCAACAAAAATATTAATAAAGAATTAATTATAGAGTAAACTTTAAAAAGAAAAAAATACAAAAGGATAATATTCATATATATAATTTTCGTTTAAGATTAAACATAAACGATGTGACAACAATACTCTTACAATTATGAATTATAATAATGAAAATTTTGTTTTTAATGAGTGGATATAAATGTAACATACCATTATATATAGATTTTTTGTATACAAATTATGATCGTATATCATTATTCAAGGGATAAAAGATAGTTTTAGTCTCTCAACTTTCAATTTTGTCAATTTGATCCTCAAAGTTGTCAATTTGAGTCAATTTAGTTCTATCTCTAACGTTTGCTTACATTGATAACGGGAAAAATATTTTATCTTTTGGTAAAAGATAACTTTGGTCCCTAAAGTATCCATTTCTTGTCATATTAGTCTCTCAAGTTTTAAATTTTGTCATTTTGATTATCGAAGTTGTTAATTTCAGCTATAACCAAATTGACAACTTTGATTACTAAAATGACAAAATTTAAAACTTGAGGGACTAGAATGACAATAAACGAATATTTTAGGACCAAAACTATATTTTATTCATATTCATGTTAACAATGTAGACAGACATTACACCTATGACTAAATTGACTCAAATTGACAATTTTAAAGATCAAAATGACAAAATTGAAACTTAAGGGATTAAAATAAAAAACATCTCATACTTTAGGGACTAAATTGTCTTTTATCCTTATACAAGAATAAAAGAAGACTAGGATTGAATATAACAAAAATAATAACCCCAAACCCTAACTTTGAACCTTAAATTTGATCAATTGCTCAACCATAATATATATATATATATAGGTATATATATACATATATGTATGTAGAGAGAGAAAGAGAACAAAAATATTCAATTTGTATGAAAATAATGAGACTTGATATATACGTCAAATAGTATTAACCATGATATTTTATGGCAAAATAAACCTATCCTAAGACATTGGGTGTAATCATGCACCAGGAGTTGTGTGATGAATAGTACCTCTCGCGACAAACATTTGTTATAAAATTGATCAGGCTTGACATGTTTTGCATGATTCATAGTTTGAACTTCAATTTTCATCGTCAATCACAATTATTGGTTAAAAATAGTTACATATTTTCTTTGAATTGTTTTTTGTGTTTTTAAAGAAAGCTCGCCCAAAGAAAATTTTCACATTCAAGTGTATCCGAACTACTTGAATTAAAAGAATTCATCTAATGGTTGGTTTATTCAGTTCTAAACCTGACCTTACAATAGCAAAATCTGAGCTAAATGTTCTTCTTCCAATCTCCTTTCCATCAATATGGTCGACTGCTTCTTTAACTTTTTTATAGCTCTCATCGTCTTACTTATTTTCATCAATGATGCATACATACATAATTTGTGAGAACAATCGTTACGAAATGGTGGTCAGCATATCTAACCTTCAACCAGTTCATATACAAGCAGGACAAATTAATGTAACAAATTATTTGAAGAAGGCAAATCATTTGTTTTTTTGAACCTGATTATGTTTGAAGAACATAAATCTTTTATTTATTTTTAACTTGACCTATCTAAGATGGTCAATTCGGATTGGTTTTGCTTCAAAATGGCCATAAATGTCTAAAGTTTACTTTCTATTGTGCTGATGGTATGAATTTGTGGTTACCTATGACAGTGAGGCAAGTACCCTTACCCAGGAACTTGACAGCTCATTGCGTCCTCCATGATTCAGAAATTGTACGTTTCATCTTTATAGGTTTTTGTTTTCTCTTGTTTTTCTATGTCATTGGAGGTGATATAATTGCTTTTGTAATAGCAGGTGCTGCCATGCTCTTTGGGTCATGATGGCTGCTGCTAGTATTGAAGTAGCTGTGGCATCGGATGCTTTGTTGGTGGGAAGGTTTTGGGTTGTTTATGGTTATGAGATTATCTAATAGGAGGTGGATCAAGTCAATTGTTCTGTTATCCAACTTGCTAGGTTAGTTTCTTTTCTGCAAAATAAAGATTAAATGTAGATCATATTTGTCAGGGTGTAATAATGTTCGTCGCGGTGGATATTTGGGGCTCTAGCATGCCATATGACCTGTTTTTGTGCCTTTTATTGTTTGAGATGATTTGAAATTCAATTTTTGCGGATAATTATTTGTGAGAATGTTAATTTTGAAGTCTTTTTACT